CAGAACCGAAACACTCAACAGAAAAAAAACTCAGGGAAACTGAATTTTTCTTTCAATATAGAGTATTGCTAATTTAGAATTTTTTTGTGCTCGATATTTTTTTTTGCTGGTGTTAGTGATGTTCGATTTTTTTTCTTCCATTCGAGACATGCTCGATATTTTTTTTCGGATTTGCGCTTCCCGCCATGAAAAATCAAATGGTCCGTCCCTAACTACAGAAAAAGTGATATATATCTTATTGAATGGTTTGACATATATGAATCCGGCCAAACACTTTACATCGAGTCCTGAAAGGGCGAGAAACGAGTAAAATGCTCGACACGATTATATGTGAAACCATTCATAGCACTTTTTTGACAAATCTCGAAAAATAGATTTCCTTGTCTTTGCTGAAGGATTTGCATGCACGGCATTCAGCGCTGCGAATGGCAAATAATTTCAGATACAATAAAAACAAAAATTAAACAGGTTACGAAGTTGCATACCAAATTAGAAACTTAAGACTGACGTAATTGTTGTTCAATCTGATTGAATAAAATGTCAAAAACGAAGAAAATATGTCAATCAAGTTTCTAAACCAACTTATTTTGAGTTATTGTACGAAACATGCTGATTTACAGTGAATAAAAATGTGAATTAAGTGAAGAAATACTGGACCTAAACAACAGATTTGTGACAATAATCTGGACAGTGGAAACTAAATGCTCAACATTTAATTATTTAATATATAGGTGAAACAGTTAATTGTGACACTTTTGAGTTTGCCAAATATCAAATGCAGTAATAGATAACTACAGAAAAAGTAATTACATCACTCCAATAGGCTAGAAGACATTTACTTCCAAATCTACACATTTACTTCTTAAAAATATCAAGAACATTCTATAAAAATATTCCAGTTTTCATTCGTGTATTTAAAACTGTCGCTTGCAGATAACTGTTATGTGTAGGTTGCGTGATTTCCATATTTAGCCGTAAGCTGTTGGCCAATCACAAGACACGTATAGTAACTACAATGTATAATAATAAATTTAACCAGTTGTTGGTGCTGCGAATTTCATGATGTACCACAGGCGGCCCAATCTCCGAATGTTCTACATATTTTGAATATTTATACGGAATATTTAACCGTTATCATATTTAATAACGAAATTACTAAAAAAATATTAGCAGTATATGTAAAAAATATATCTAACTAGTAACTTGTTAATAGAATGCATTTGTTGTGTTTCTGAGTTTCGTTGATGCGATTGATTTACGTTTTCGTTGCATCTGAACGGTCTTCAGTACTGGCACTGAACGACATCAGTTCTGACTGACGACCGTTCAGATGCGACGAAAACGTAAAGCAATCGCATCAACGAAACTCAGAAACACAACAAATGCATTCTATTAACAAGTTACTAGTTAGATATATTTTTTACATATACTGCTAATATTTTTTAGTTATTTCGTTATTAAATATTGTAACGATTAAATATTCCATATAAATATTCAAAATATATAGAACATTCGAAGATTGGGCCGCCTGTGGATGTTGCAATAATTACAATGTCGTAGTCTGAACTGTTTGACAACATGAAAATAAATTAACACATACAGTGTGTCATTTTCAGTGTTTCTTAGAAAAAGAAGGCTAAACAGCAGGGGGTTAAATTTAACAGGTTAAAAAGCTTAAACGTTGTCGTTGGAAGTTTCTAAGAGATATTTTGCAGATGTTTTTAGCAAAATTGACTTGATGGTAGCACTGTCCTCACGATAGTAAATTCTAGTTTATGAATACTATCTGTGAGAAATTTTACATCCAGAAAGTCAGTTTTAATTAAAATATTATCCACTCACAGCAACTGTTTCATTTCACATAACAAATGTAGCGTTTTTGACAGAAAAGCAAATCGGAATTATAGTTTCAGCATGCAAGCAACAAATTAACTTGTATGCTTTCCTGCTTTAGATTTAAATAATGGATTTATTGGAAATCAATGATCTGCGACTGCGCACAGGAATTGGTTTCAGTCAGCACGAAGTAGGCAAACTTCAAGAAATTGTTGTCACTATTCAACTCAAGATTTCAAGAAAAGCTGGTAAATCTGATTGCGTCGAAGATTGCTTAAACAATAGAACTTTGACAAAAGATATTATTTCTCTTGTTGAAAATAAGAAATACAATCTTATTGAAGCAATAGCCGAAGATATCGCTCGTGTTTGTGTTCAGAAACACGGCGCTCCCTGGGCGAAAGTGAAAGTACAGAAGCCAAATGCTTTAAGATTCGCGGAATATTCTGCAGTTAGCGTTGAAAGATGTTCAGAAGATTACAAATGGGAAAACGTGCATTTACTTATTGGTTCTAACATCTCTCCTGAAGAAAATATTGCCAAAGTAATTGCATTGCTAAAAGAAAAACTTGAAGGGCTCAAACTTTCCAGAGCATTCCGAACACCACCAGTTGGTTACGGTTACGAAGAACAAGATGACTTTATCAATATGGCTGTTCTTGGGAAAACTAACCACGATCCAGTATCGTAAGTTCACTGAACGATTTAGATTCTTCTAACAACGTAGCAACCTAAAATGATCGTTGTTTGTGATACCTGCGACTCATTCCTTTGTTCAATTTTGTATTTGTTTCATTGTTCTCATAAACCAATCAAAAAACTTGTTCATTAGTCGATTTCACAAAACTTTTTCCCAAATGTTTCAAACTTCGTTCTGCCGCAAGTTCAACATTTCGTTGCGAAGTTCAGAATTTCATTTTGAAATCACGAGGCGGTTAATTCTAAACAAAGCGTCTGATTAGTCTGCCTATCCTAGAAATCAGTTTCTCGGTCATTAATGGTCATGTCTCAACACTCTTCGGCCTTCGCGCCCTCGCTAGACTCCTTGTGTGTTCCTCCTTGAAATTTCATGTAAGAATTTTAAAACGACAATGAGGCTCTGCGGAGGAGGTTACACGTTATAGAAGCTTATGCAAGGAAGTCGACAACGCGAAGACGACGACCATGAATACAATGACATTAACTAACCGTATAGCACAAAACCGATGAATAATTAAAAGTCTAGCAGGGGTTTTAGACGTCGCCCAAGGCCGTCCAAAGCTCTACCGACAACGGTAAAATACATGTTTTCACGTCTCGTACAGTAGTTTTTTCTAACAGAGGTTATCAAAATTGCTATGAAGGATAAAGCTCTGTGTTACGCTTTCGAAACTGTTTTATATTCATACGAAAATAAATACAAGGAACGATTTCCATACAACTGTTTATTTCAAACACTTTTGTTTAGTCGTCGTCCTGACGTCGCCGTCTTACATCTGTAAGCTCGCTATTATATTTGTTCAGTATTTCCAGGGAACCCACGTTGTTTAAGTCAAGCGCTTACAACGTTTTAAATATTAAATTAACCTTTTTATTCTGTATTTTCAAAATCTCCCCTTAAATCCTTATTGAAGGTTAAAGAAGATTCTTCGCAAGCTTGAAACGCAACTAGGAAGTGTTCCGGGAAATAAAAACGTTCCCAGAACAATCGACATCGACATTGCATTGTGGGGTGAGAACACGATACAGTTCAAAATGACATCAGAAGATATCTCGTATGTTATCCCTGATCCTGATATACTCAGCCTAGCTCACGTGATTATACCACTTGCTGATCTCACTCCAGATTTTATGCATCCAGTGGAGAAGAAATCTTTAAGCTCAATAGCAGTGGAACTTTGTGGCAAAAATTTCACGTCGTATTTTCCGATCGTCGATATATATGACGCAAACAACAAAGAATTAACAAACGGCGATTTTTCTGCGTTCGCGGATAGCCTTTCTGTGCTGCTCTAGTTCCAAACTTACTGTCGTCTGCTGCCCTGGATTGTTGTCCTTTATTCTTTTTTTCGTCCTTTATCATGTCCACCGTTAGTCTGCGAACCCAGACGTCATTTCCGACGCTTATGCTTCCCTTGGAAATAACGTCTGCGGAAACGAGCTGGAATTCGATTTCCGTGACGTATGTCTATTGTCTGTGTTAGCCAATTAAAACGTCTGTTACAGCGAGAGAACGCTTGGAAGTGCGCGAACGCGTGTAAACGCGTGTAGGACCACACGAACGGAGCCGCGTTTTTTTATTATAAAAATATAAATTAATATACTTGTAATTTTATTCTGAAAATATGGATGAAACTTGGAAAAAGTATACCCAGAATACAAAGTTCTACTGTATCAATGACAATGTGTATTAAAGAAGACACCTCTCAGTTGGAAAATATGATGTGTCTTTTGGAAAATATAATTATTTTAGAGTTATTTGAATATATTGAATATTTTCAACTTCAATACTGGGCGACGCCGAAGGGATTGTCTATACGTATGTCGACCATGAAAAAGTCGCATAGGATGTTATCAATAAAAATATGGTGAGGAAAATTACTATGATATATCATACTAGACTTTCAAAGTGTTGTTCTCGGTCCAACAGCAAGACTATAAACTTCCACAGCTCGTTCGACAGATTGTGATTTGAACTGGTCTGCGAAGAATATAATTTTCTACGCAATTCATTTTATACATTATTGCGTTATTAAAATACTGTTTACGGCCGCCAAAATAATGTATAGGACACTTTGTTTATTTCTATACCGCTCTGCAGCAAGATTATACGGCAACAATCAATATTAAATTGCATGCATTCATTGCATTGGGAACAGCCTGGTCGTGAACTTGTTGTAAAACCTGTCACAGTAGCGAAACTATTCGCAAATATATACAGTTTAAACGTTTTGATTGTTCAAATTCACTTTATAGTTAATATATGTACGCACATTAGCATGCAGTGTGTTTTCTAAGTAAGTAGTTTGTGTTTGTATTTACATATATACTGTACAGAGTGTGGAATTGACAGACATCAATTTAATGGTTAGTACTATATATTATACTAGCAGTTTCATATTATATATAGTAGCAGTAGTACTATATATATTAATATTATACCTCAAATTCAAATTGTCCAATCAGGAAGCTTAGTTTGTGCCACGTGAGCATAAAATTAATCGCGATATCACGCCTTACGTCATCAATTAGCGAGCCTGCGTTCCTTTTGACAATGTTCCACCCCATGTTCCCCGGGGAACATGGAGTAGAACATTATTCGCGTATAGATCACGCGGGACAACACGCATGACAACAAGATGGCCGACAAAACATATAAAATAGTATTAAAGGACATTGGCAACGAAAATTTTTATTGGCTATTTCAATCCTACTTGACAACCGAACTATGAAAATATTATCATTTCCTTCTTGAACGTTTTAGTCTACGAGTAAAATGCATGCAAACTTTGTGTTTCGGCCAGTTTCGCCGCCATCTTGGAAAATATTTTTGAAAAATTATCTCGAAGATCAATGAACTTTGTGACGTCATTGGCTGGGTAGCACCAAAACTACAAGAGAAAATTCTATTGCGTGCGTGTTATGTTAGCTAAAAATATGTCGTTTTGAGCGTTATACTGGCCAACACTCTTCGCAATCAAACAAGAGAAGTCTACACTATCAGATAAAAACATATCGAGCGACTGGGAAAGCAAGAAATGGCGCAATTTACAATGCAGGTAATTGATCATAAAATGTTGCATTAGTATTTGCCTTGTTACACTCGAATTTCTGCGCTTATTTAACACGGAGTAGGATATATACTATGAGAAATAGTGTTACAAACAAATTACATACTTGGTAAAACTTTTCTGCCTTTTGTTTTGTCTCAAAATGCACTACGCGTGGTAATACACGGTATTGTTTATAGTAATGAGATTGTGAGTTCAGATAATGTATTTTGTGGCATAAATTAGCATACGCGCTTATTTTCAAAATGGCGGACAACTGTTCAAATTTTCTCAAATTCAATCAAATTTTCTCAGCAACTAAACGCGACAAACCGGCCAAAATATGAAATTAAATATTCCGTAAGTATACCTAATAGATATAAGTAATAAAAATTTTGGTTGCCAATGTCCTTTAATGAGTGATGAATAATTCAATTTTAAACCTAAAACCTGGGGCTTTTTCAAATCTGAAATTGAGATTGATGTCGGTACTGCAGCGTCACATTATTTCACCGTATTAACTAGCTAGTTCTATTTGGCACTTTCTACATTCAATGCCTTTCAAGTTTCAAACAAATTACAATTCAGTAACACTTTGTCATCATCTGGTTATTAAAAATAGTTTTCAAAATATTCCCTTTAAAAACTTTGTGAAGAATCGTTCGAAAACGCAAGCGCAGCCAAGCGCAGAAGTAAATACAAAGCGATAATGTAAATCAGCAAATATAAATATTAACAACGAGCAACTTTGGTCCTGGTATTACAAATGTGCGAGTACAAATGTACATTCTAGAATAAACTAATAAAGAAAAATACAGAAAAGTTTATTTACTTTTATATGGTCACGAAGAAGCATCTTTTGCTGAAAGTATATTGTTATTGCAAGTACCAAGGCCTAAGTGAGAATAAAAACAATAAATTTATCGCTTCCGCGGTAGCAAGCAATGCATAAAACCTAAACTTTAGCGGCAATTTATCAGCCTGATGAGCTCCGTTTTCTGTGCGAAGGACTGCATGCAAAAGATCAATGACAGTACACTGTTCTGGATAAAATAATGGCAATGTGCAGGAGCACAATGCCGATTTAATGATTAACACAAAAATAACAAATTACAGATAAATGTTACAAATTTAGTATTCATGCATAGCACAGAAAAGGTGGGGTGTTAAAAAACGCCACAAGCCGACAATAAGGAGGCACCCCACCCCATCAGGCAGAGAAATCGCCGCCAGAGCCGATAGACTAAATTCAGGGGCGTAGCATGACCTTTTTAATCAAACATCTAAGTTTTACCGACCCACGCGCCACCATGGTTGGCGCCGAGCGGAAAAATTTTGAAAATATGGAGTCTCTAGATCGTTGGAAATGGCATTTTCAGAGCCTTCTGTAGCTTATACACACAAGGTTTGGTAGCTTTTATTTATATCAAACAAAACCATATTGTTGAAGTTGTGTTATTTTCGAAATCCGTGAGAATCCGTCAGATATTAACAAGCTGTGAGTGTGAGCTCACCGTGAGGTTTTAGTAGAATCCGTGACCGCCCCTTATACGCTACATATAACATATACCATAACAGCTATACAGCAATTGACAAATAAATATTTCGGCGCGCGTTTAATTTAATGACACTTACCGTGACTTTAGTCAGCCGTCTAGAAATAACGTAGAACCAGAAACGTAGCAAACGCTTTATTAATTGGAATAATTGTTGTCTTTGTTACTTCGCGATAAGTCATTTTACCCAATGGCATTTATCTTGTTGTTTATTGTAATGTACAGACTTGAAAAATTGGCGAAACATTTTACGAGCACCGCGTGTCAATAACAAGTATATGAATATAATCTTTAATTCTTTTGCGTATCATTGTATCAAGGTCAAAAGTTCGCGCACAGTTGAACATGTCCAATCAGAACCGACTGTTTTCGCAGCTCTTGCAAGTGTAATACAATAGGAAATTAGGGGCTCCAATGCTTATGCGTAGATATTTAATATAAGTGTTTTAATACTGAAGAATTACGTACATTTTGCATAACTTTATTGGAGAACAAAGCACAACATTAATTTCATTTTTTTTATTATTAAAAGCCATTTACCGAGGAGCAAAATTCCACTTTAACCGATTTGTTTTACCGACCGCTGTCATGGCTCTTGCCATTACCGAATAACTTCGCGTTTTACAGACTACCTCACTGGGGTACCCCCCACCCCCACCCCCCCGCACGCTACGCCCCTGACTAAATTGATATAAATCGGGAAAGCAAGACAAACGGCCACTCATGACATCCAAAATAATCAGCGAAGTCGCATAAGAATGTAACCTAAAATACCACTACTGAACGTATAAATTTAATAATAGACGTATGGCACTGACAGTAAATTAGAACTCTGAAGCCGACCATGAACCTAGCCCCTGCATCAGCACACGGATGGGCAACAAGGTACATTATAAAAACTACACAAGCTGAAACCATGAAACTTTAACAAAGCCTCGCCAGCCTAGCCCCTGCATCAGCTAGACGAGTGTTATCATGCGTTAAATGTGCTGTTCATTAACGAGACATATATTTGTAGCCTACTACTAACCGTTTGCCTCACAAATACAAGAATGCAGCCACCGTCAGTCGCAGTTAAGACGAAGCCGAACTTAAGCTTGGTATGTGAATATACTTGAGGAATGCATCGGATCGCCAGCGCCCCATAGCACGAATTTGGGCATCAGAAAAACCCACTCTGCCGCAAAAGTGGCTGCGCCAATACGGAAACTGTGGCCTTTATACGTCATGGTATCAAGACCACAGCCGCGAAAAAGCATTGATAAAAACTTAGTAAATAACGTGCGAGGCACGGCGGAACCCGAAGGCATCCTGAACAGCGGACCATCGGTTAAGCCTCGAACTGATAAATACTCTAATAAGTTCTGAACAGGGCATATGTCAGAACGCCGAGACAATGTCAGTACAACAGGGCGCTGGTTATAAGAATGTTTGAAATCGTGAAAAGTAATCTTAAGGCCCGCGATGAAACCCGAGGGTTCTACCATCTTAACAACCTGGTCTATATGGAGAACTGATGGAGAACGAGAGCAAACGGTAATTTCGCCAATGCGCAGAAACGCAAAAAATGCAGTAGAGCACATAGTCGTAAAGAGATGCGTCTCGTAAGCACTAGAACACAGCGCGGGAACCTGCCTCAGAATATTCCGAAGAATAGACAAAGTAATAGGCAATCGAGTATCAATTTGCG